ACTGTCAATATAGCCAGCAATAAATTGAATAAGGGCAGAAGCACACGTTGTTGTAAGATGTTACATATTTGTTTTAAGGATGGGATTTTTCCTGTTAACATGGTTTCCTGTATTTCTGACTTCCTTTTCTGACCTTATACTTACCCCCAAGTGCCTTTTGGGAAATACATGCATATAATAATAATATTAAAGCAATAGTATCGGAATAGTATTGTTATCGGCCGATATCCAAATCCAAAATATCGGGATCGGATCGAAGAGAAAAAATGTGGATTGGTGCATCCTTACTGACAATGCTTGGTGTGGACTACTTGCAGGAAAGATTTTTTAATAACTTTGATAATGGCTTTCTTTTTTGTGAGCCTGCCTGCAAATCGTGGTGGGTTTATGTAATCAACCTCCAAAAATTCAAAAAAGGATTCAAAGAGAGAGACTGGAGTGTCAATGATCTCTGATTCACTCCTACAACGTTTGTGTTAACCAGATCCATGTGCTACCTGAAAGGTGTGTTGGACGGCTCAAACAGGGCTTTGTGTCTGAGCAGGGCGGGTCCAGGTGGTGTAGTTTCATCATGGAGGTGTGTGGAGATGTATTTGGAAGGCGGACCCCCAAAGATTTCCAGCCTTTTCTGCAATACTTGTTCCCATCGTTGCAGTGTCCTGAGGGCAGCGTGACACAGAGGAGAGGCCACGGGCAGATCTACATCCCATAAAAAGCGCATACGGTAGAAAATAAATAGAATTAGCACAGGCAGGCAGTGGGAAGTGGGGGAACACTTACTAAATTGCTGAATGTCAGTAGATCACATACAGCACTTGTGGTCTATTTACCTAAAAGATCGTATCCTGCCATGGGGTAAAAGGACTTGAGGTTGACCATCACAAGCTGCACCATTGCCAGACGCATTAAACACCAACTAAGAAAAAAAACAACACAAAAACATTCATCAAAACTATAGATTAGTTTAAAGCCATTAAAACTGTCCATGTACAAATGTAATAAATACAGGCCGACTGATCAAAGTGTGCAGTCACTGTAGTCAGTTTTCCCTCTTACAAAGACCTAATCAGTAGCTTTAACTCTCTTTCTTATTCATCATTACCTGTATGAGTTGTGATTCGAATGCTCTCGTAGTGGAGAATTGGGGTCAAACATATAATCATAGTCATCCTCATCTTCGTCTTGACTGCCCTGGTTCTCCTCTGAGTCATACTCAATTCTGTTTTCTGATGGTGGCAGTGAAGGCTAAAAGATACGAGAAAACAAAATGACCAAGACTTACCCAAAGAACTAACAGAAGGTGAAAAAGATGCAGTATTGGTTATAAAAAACATATGTGATATTGTTGATGAATTTGAGATGTGTTGTTCTATGATCCATTTTAGATGATACAAGGCAAATTTGTAACTTATATCATATTTTTATTAACCTTTGCAATGAAGTAATCCCAGATGCTGAGGTCTGGAGGGACAAACTGCTCTTTAAAGATGGACGGAGCTTCTTGGTCCACTATGGTGACATTTTTAGGACTGGACAGTCCCTCCCGCTCATGGCAAGACTCCTCTTTGGATGCACTGCGTGACGACAGAAGCCTAAACCGCCTGGACTTCCTGTCTGAGGCACTCGGAGAAACTAGAAGCGTCAACAGAAAGTGTTTGTCATGCCATTATTGAAACATCTGTGCTGCACGACAGGACATGCGTGTAAACAGATAATCACCTTTTGGTACTGAAATAATGTCTTGGAAAGAAAACAAAACAAAGTACTTTCAAGTGGTTTAATTCTGTCAAATAAACATGAATTACAATTGCATTACAGCTTCCCTCTGCCAACCATTTCAGAGAGGAGCAGACAGAGTGTGATGGTAAAAGCTCCCTCAGTAATAGGTTAATGGATTTCACTATGATCTACAGATGGGAAGCTAATTCATTTAGCAAGAGTGATTCGATTTAGACTCAGGGCCACTAGCACACAGAGATACAGAGCTTCAGAGAAAGAGAAAAAAAAATTCCCAAAACACACAGACACTCACCTGGAGGTGGCGTCCTCGCTGGACTGTTGAGTTTCTCTATGACAGGGGTCCGGGCACCTCCTCCAAACACTGCCACCCAAAGTTTACTGCTGAGAGGGTGGGCCATGATGCGAAACAGCTCAGGGCTGGAGTGACTGGCCATGCCGTGAACAAACAAGCTGAGAAATACGGCAGTGAGGATCTCGCAGAGCAGCACGGTCAAGCCTGGCTGACTCTCCTCACCTGCTGAGCTCAAAAGACGGACCATGGAAGCGATACCTAGGGAGAGGGACAAAAAAAAAAAAAATAAAAAAACAGAACAGGGAGAAATGAACAAATTCTAAATTATTCATCAATGTATACAGGGACACACATCAAATGGTGAAAAAGCAATTAGCAGATATATTTGTGCTTCAGTCAGCTCACCACTGCATTGTTTCCTAGCGTTTAAAGTAAAGAAGGCTCATATGTGTCAAACCTGACAAAATTTGGTCAAACAATAAAAAACCAAAACAAAAAACTGACCAAGTAGCGTATCTGCTACTGGTTTCATCCCATGAAAGACAGAAAAGCATGCCCTTTTTTAAAAGCAAACAAACACAGCTCTGATTGGCTGTTGCCTTCATGTGTTCCTCCAGTTTAGATGACGGTGTGGGCTGACATGTTTTTTCCCTTATTTTTCATTAGTTGACTTGCTCCAAACAAGTTTCTATTCAGTTTTCATAGACTCCGAAGAACATTTTAAATCAAAGAAATTAAAACCATGAAAAGACAAGGAAGACAGCGACCTGTCTTTGTTTGTTACACAGCCATAACCAACATCATTATAATATTTTCCCAAGTTTCCAAAGACCAGCTTTGTTGCCTGATTGAAACTGATTAGCACAAGAGGGCCCTTGTGATGAATATCATTATTTTGACTTGATTCAATTATTCTTTTTCCAAATACTTTACATGTACATTCACCCGAAGTTAAGGTTTGTGTGTTACCTCTTGTAACAGAAGTCAAGACACATTTGACAGTTAAATATACCTGGCCACTGAGCAGGAGAAGTGTTCGGCTGAACCAGCTCGTCCACACTGAAGTGTCTGACTGACTGCTTCTGAGACAGCAACACACTCTGGTAAACAATCCCAGTAAAATGGTTGACATGGCTGTTGGAGAAGAGCAGAAACGTTAGGACACAAAGGTTAATACTTATATTAAACATGAAAAGTTCACATTCAGTCTGAAACGTGGATCCCTAAATAAATTCCCTAGGACAAACACGAGCATCGAGCTCTGCTCTGAGAAGACATGGAAATTTGATTGGCTGCATCTCAGCATACCTCATGTAAGAGAAAAAAAACTTTATGGTAAAGACAGCAGCTAAAGTAAATTTGAAAAAAAAAAAAAAAATCTGATTCACAGATGTACAACCATTCAGGAAATGCAGCCACATTATTTTAGCACAGATATTGATTTTCAGGAGCCCAAGAGTAAGAACAGGATTGTTTTTCTCATTTGGATTTTAATTCTTTGCAGACAATGACTGTCTGGAGTTATGAACTTGCGGACATCACCAAATGTCATGTTTTTCTCCCCAGAGATGCTATTTCAGGGCTTTATTCGCAGAAAACTTTAGCTGCAGCTTCATTAACATCTAAATTGCATCATTATAAATTCATTTTGCTTCTGTGCAGGGACAAAACGACACTGAACAAAAATACAAAAGCACTACCCAAGTACTTATGGCTCTGACTGCACATAATTCCATCAACTTCATAAATCCTGGCCAACTTCATGACATCATCTTATTTTGTATTTGTTATTCTTTGTCTTTCTCGAAGAATCTTCATTTTACTACAGAACAGCTGTGTAATTCCTCCGCACAAATGATATTCATTCAGGGTTTTTCTATTCAGATCTTTAATTAACGGTGTCAATTAAATCCACAAAAAACCAAATGGGTAATAAAAGAAGTACTCACAATAGATACATGCAGCACTGCAGCTGTTATAATTGTTTGAATTGTCATGTTTTTGAGAGAAAATATGCAGCATGTCCTTCCTTTTTTCACATCTTTAATTATGAAAATGTTTGAAAAGTCCTGATCAGTAGCACGTCATGTACAGAATGTTCTGGGTCTCTTTTATGTATTTGTAGCATTTGAACCCAGAGTTTAAATGTGCACACTTTTTAAGCACCAGTCTCTCATTATAAAGTTAGCCTTGTTACCAGCAGCTGTGGACTCTTTTTCACCCATTATTCTGCTCCAATAAGCTTTAACTTCATAATTCATTTTAAGAATTCAAGAATCTTGCTCAAAGTGATGCTTCCTTTTTGATATCCTCTGTGAACTCAAACTTCTATGAGTCAAGGTACATAAAAGTTTTTTTTTTTCCAAGGCTAACATTTAGTTCCCCAATTCTTCAAATGAGGTGGAAAAAACTGCATGACTATAAAATATCTCAAAATAGCTTAAGGTGTAAAAGTAATGACTTAGGTTCAAAGCTGCAACTCGCATTTTCAACAAAGTAATATTTCACCATGAAAATAAAAGAGTGCAGAGTATATGAAAAGATGGACATCCTTGTTAAATATAGTAAAGCATTCTGTCACTCACCTGTAAGTGTGTTTGTCACACAGACACTGATAGATACAAGCAGATAAGGAAGCAGCCAAGGTGTGCATCACATAAATCTAAAAAGGAAAGAATAAAAAACAACGTTAAAAAAACAATGACTATGAAAGATAATGAACTCTATAGTTTCCTTCAGCTGTGTGGAGCAGTACAGTATCTTTTATCTTGTTTCACTGCTAGCCGAGGCAGTGCACGTTATGGTCTATGCTCAAATACAGTAGTTTTGTTGTTTTTCTTAACGATGTACAGTGAGCTGAAGCTGCCTCACCTCATTGTTAACAACGTCAGGATGAGGAGGAGAGTCCAGGGCATTGATGGTCTCCAAGATGTCGTGAGTCAGATTAGTCAGGTATACAATGGGACTGGCTACAACTGTCTTCACACCGGCTGTGCAAGCCATTAGGAGGGGGATGGAGGTGGGCTGGGCACTGGACGTCACCGCTGACTGGTAGGAGTCATCCTGTTAAAACAGGAGAGAGGTAAATAACAGTAAATACCAAATTTAAGTATTCGCTGGCTGTAACACTGCAGCGTTACAAACACTGTGCAATCCTTAGGACAGAAGAGCGAGGATGTTGAAAATGCAACTATTTTACTTCTAAAAGCTTAATCACTGAACACATAAGATCAAAGGCTTTGGAAAGACAACAACAAAAGCTTATAAAACAATGTATTCTACAATTTACCAAATGAAGCAGAGAAAGTGGTTCTAAGCATTTCTCTGATAAAAAACTGCTCAGTGTCTGTATTTGGATCCTCTCCTCCAATAACAAATCAGTTCCAATCTGACTTAAGAAAAAATAGTTGAAGAGCTGTTCCTTACACTAAGTTATACTGCTACAGAGGAACAGACAAATAATAAAAAAAATTGTAATTTTAACAGTGCAATATCATGGATGCCCTTTTATTAAACTTGTTTACTCACTAAAATTCAATTAAGCATGTTAAATTGTTATCCCAAAGTAAAACACTCCTCTGTTTAATCAGTGTTTGACTTACATGTATTTTCTCTACTTGTTGAGTAATATTAGACAAACTGTTCTTCCCAGTGTAAATGTTTGTACAGGGAGGTTCTGAAGTTGAAAAAAACAAAAAACAAAAACAACCTAAATAAACTGCCAGTGCCTGGATTTAACTAAGCAAATAGGTACAAGCCTCCTGTTGGATATTTACTGCATGCGATTATCTTTCAGCTGGAAACAAGTTATTTAACCCTAACTGATGCAATTAGTTGCTTCTCCTTTCTTAAACAACCATGTGGAAAGACACATCCCGTGGTCGTGGAAAAGATGTTAGTCTGTTTGAGAAGGGTCAAATCATTGACATGCATTAAGCAGAGAAAACATCACAAGGAGATCACAGAAACTACTAAAGTTGGGTTTAGAACTGTCCAACGCATTATTAAAAACTGGAAGGATAGTGGGGACCCATTGTCTTCGAGGAAGAAATGTGAAGAAGAGAGGCAGATGAAGTGATGCACTCATCATGCCAAGTGCCTACTCTATGTACAAGCCTGTGGGGGCAGTGTTATGATCTGGGGGTGCTCAAAGAAAGAGGTCAGCTGACTCCCTGAATATACTGAATGACCAGGTTATTCCATCGATGGATTTATTTTCTTCCGTGATGACACGGGCATATTCAAAGATGACAATGCCAGGATTCATCGGGCTTAAATTTTGAAAACCCCATTGAGAATCTTTGGGATGTGCTGGAGAAGGCTTTGCGCAGTGGTCAGACTCTACCATCATCAATGCAAGATCTTGGTGAAAAGTTAATGTAACACTGGATGGAAATAAATCTTGTGACATTGCAGAAGCTTATCGAAACAATACCATGGCGAATGCGTGCTGTAATCAAAGCTAAAGGCGGTCCAACGATGATCCAAAGATGATTTTCCAAAAAAGTATATATTTTCTGAATTTTAATATTAGAGTGTGTGATCTTGTCTTTTGGTGGCAACTTTGTTTTTGGCCAGTCAGTGTATTTTAGAAGCTAAAAAGGCAGATGTCACTTTTACCTCTGATTTGTGGATGTATTATAATCAATTCAATTAAAATATTAAACCTTAATACCCAAAGACAGCCAAATAAAAGGTTAAACTTGGGGGTCATTTGTTCATACTTAAGGAGACAATAAACAAACAAAGGACACATAAACAATGGAAAAATTATTTCTATTTACACATTTTGTTCATTCACTAAACAAACTGTAAAGCAATCAGTGTGAGATGTGAGATTCTGTCTGAGTTCTATGCAAATGACTTGATTAACTACATGTTGACAGCAACAACAGCAGCAGTAGAAACTAATTATTTATTTATAACGTTACTTAATCAACCTTATTAGTCATAACAGTGACGTGTGGCCTTTAGTGTTTGTCTGTGCATGTTTTAATTACCTGGTGAGACTCCTGCAGCAACAGTATAAGCTCCATCCGAACAGAGGCCAGTCCTCCACCGTGAGACCCATGCAGGCTGCAGTAGCTAAGAAACATCCTCAATAAAGGCTGGTTGCTCTGCAACCAGTGTCTCCCACTTCGCTGGCTGTCACTGCGTGGGCTGCCCAGCTGGGAGACAAACATTAACTTTGTTACAAACAAATCAAATACAAATCATTATAATTGTGTCCATGTTATAAAGCTAGGGAGTGTTCAATTAAGACCACACAGAAACAGAGTGCAAGAATAACTACGTGGTAATGGATTCTGTCAACAAGCTTATTGTAATTGTGAGTGTAATTTCAACTGCACATAAAAAGGCACTGTGCCCGTGTAGGCCTGTATAGACAATGTCGGTTGCAAAGACTGATCAATAGTTGTAGAGGTGAGAACAAAACCTCCAGTGTTGCAGCTTAGGGGACTGGGGTGGTTTGTAGAGTCTGTCAGTCAAGAAAGAGATCGAAGAAAGTCCGGTGCAGTATGTACCAAAATAAAACATCTTTTGTTTTATTTTGCGACATGAAGTGAAATTATTATCTTTTTATTACAGCAAGTGTAGGATTGATTTTTTTTCACCCCCTCATGAGCATCTGACAGATTGAGGTGCAGCCAGGAGTCTACACCTACCTGCTCCTCCTCCTCTTCCAATCCAAACACGGAGGCATCACTGTGGACGGACAGGTCTGGCAGACAGGGCTTATAGTTGCAACAATGCTGGAGAGTGATCACCTGGATAAAAGACAGTTTTATCTTAAGTTCAACTGATCAAGGGGGGAGGTTGTCACTGTACTGGGGCTAGTAGCACGGAACACAATACACTTAACCAAAAGAAGTAAGTGGTTCAGATAAATGCAAACAATGAGTTTAGAAAAGCCTTTAGAAACACAAAATATTAAAAGAGGAGTAAACAGGAGAAAACCATTTAAATAAGTGTGTGTGTGTGTGTGCAAGTTACCTCTCTTTCTAACCACTGGTACAGCTGGTAGCGCAGTTTGCCTCCGTCCACTTCATAACCTGTCGACAATGTGCGAAGCTCGTTGGTTAACATTTTCAGGCAGGCAGCAAACTTTAGCTGGGCCACGAAGACGTCATCAATCGGTGCAATAAAGTCACTGCTGTCCTCAGTGTCCTCTTCTGTCATTATGTCCATCATAGGTGACATAGTGTCCTGTGTGTCGTGGAAAACACTGACGTTGTCTGCCATTCCACTGGTTTGAGCGTTTTTAATTCCCCTATCGCCCTCTTCATCATCATCATTATTCTCTTTGTCACTGTCCCACTTCAGCTCAAGCGGCTCATCTGGGAGAGCAAGTGAAGGCTGGCTCCAGTCAAAACTTAACACTGACTCAGACTTGCTAAAACTATTCCCATCTGACTCGTAGCCATTTAAGGATGGCTGAGACCAATCTGGGTCCGAGGTCTGACCCTCCTTGCTCTCAACGCTGTGTTTAGGAGAGTTCCCCTGAACCTCTCGAGTTGGGAGCTTAGAATGTCGGCAGACTTTAGGCATCTTTGACAGGATTTCCAGGGCGAGCATTGGACAGCCAGCCTGTAGGTGGGCATATGCAGCAGTGAAAAACAGCCTCCTCTCTTCCAGGCTAATGGAGTCTGCCCTACGACCCTCAGCAGTTAGACCAACTTTGCCCTTGTCTGAGGAGCCAAAATGGCGACGTAGGAGAAGTGGGTGGGTGCGGAGGTAGGTATAGAAGTTGAAGACATCAGGGTTACATGTAGCCATGAACGAGGAACCTGTTATAAATAAAGAAAAGGTTGCTTTTAGGAGTATGTATGTTGCCGGTATAACGGTGCATGTAACTATTCAGTACAGATAGACACATGCAGTGAAACAGTTTTTTCGGTACACGTGTAAACTTGTATTTACAAACATGTTCATGGTAATGTGCAGTGGGACAAAAGTCAACTTTCCACCAGAACACAACTGAGTCCCCATTGCTGCTTGTGCAACGTACCCCAGTGCTTCCTCAGTTTTAGATTAGATAGTGTTTAGCACAGAAGAAAAAAAGCCATGTCTTCAAGTCTGCTGTCTCAACAGTTTTCCAGTAAACTGCAGCAGCAGTGGATAGTATATAGATTTACATTATTACTATTAGTCCTCATTGGCTAGTGGAAGTCAGCTATTCAGCTGAAAATACTTCAAACATGTTAACTCACTTGAAACTGCAACATGCAACTGTGGGTTGCATGTTGCAAAAAAAAAAAAAAAAGTGAAGTGTCTAATTTCTTAAGAAATGTCAAAAATGTATAATTTTTCAATATTTCTTCTTGGACCCAAACTATACAGAAATGATGACATTAAAACTGAGGTATTTACCGAACTGCAGCTTGTACCATTAGCATTACCCCTAATATATATATATATTAAAGTTTCTCTTTAAATTGTAAGCAAGATAGGGGAAAATTATTTGTTATTATTTGTTCGATGGACTTGGTCTTTAAGCTAAAATATTTTGTATCTAACGCTTAGTTTTAATCTAATTTCCATAACCACATATTTTACTTAATGTATTTGGTTGGTGGGTTTTACTGATATGGTGAACAGAAGTGAACCTAATTAAAAGTATGCAGCGATAAATAAACTGTGACATTTTCATTTGACATCCTAGCAAATAAATAAACACAATCCTACCAGAGTCATATTTGCTCTCTGTGGAGCCTGAGCTGCTGCTTTTGGTGCCGTGCTCCAGCAGAGTGTCCAAGGCTTTGCTGTAGTCCTCCAACACCCAGTAAGCCATGCTGCGCAGGAACGGATCCTGGTGGGCTGAAATCTGAAACATACAGAGATTCTTAATGACTCACACTGGTGTCTGTGGCGCACTTTACATCAAGTGTCTGAGTCAAACAGTGGTGGGTAGTGAGATGAAATGTTGCTTTTTACAACATAAAAACAACCCTGAGAAGGGATGAGAGAAGAGACTGTGACATATACTACTTCTCTGCACCTGCTTGTCTCGACCAAGGATGTGTCTCTGAAGGATCCTTTTGTAGGTGGTCCCCATCTCATACTCTGACTCGTACAATCTCGAGATCACCAGCGCCAACTGGAGGTCCTGCAGCTTCTCTATACACACCTGGGGAGAAGAAAATAACTTCATAAAAAATGTAGATAAACGTAGACTAAAGGTCAATGGAGGATTGAAAAATAATGCAATTTAACATAATTATTCTTTAAGTTTTATTAAATTAATGCAAACATTTAAAAAGATCTAAGCAGAGTTGTTGTGAACAGTGTGGGAGTCATTCTCCATGGTTGCAACTACGAGGCTGTAACATGAATTTTAATAAGTGTGCCTCACAGTTACAGAGACCAAACAGAGTCGATAACAGCCCCATTGCCTGGTTGATGCTCATTTTTAAAGAGAGCAGAGTGAAGCTCCACTTACTCATGCTGACCAAATACTGTGCCACTGCTACAGGGTTTTTATTAATCTGAAACAACACTGATGATTAGGAGGTTAAGTTAAGACCTTGTTGTCTTTTGAATAAACTGTGAAGAATAACTGAAAAAAAAACCCAAACATTTAAAAGATATATTACAGGTGCAAACTGTTAAAAATGTTTTGATTTTAATAACAGGGTAGCTGTGAGTAAATTATGATCGATCATAATTAATTGAGGTCAATCAACATTCCTAAATATGACACTTGTGTTATATCATATTGTTCTGCTTAACATGCTGGGTGTTGAGATGGTATTTTAGGCTTGAGGTACTTCAGTGAAACAAAAAGAACATCAAATATATGTTAGAAGGGTGGTTCTCAAACTGTGGTATGCGTACCACCGATGGTACGCAAACACTCTCTAGAGGTATGCAGGGATATTTTCACATTGACATTTTCGAGTGTATAAATCTAAAACATACCATGCACAATTAATACAACATTTAGAAACATATGTGTAGCTACTTGTGAGACTATGAAATAGGAAGCTAATAGTGAAGGCCTATGCTGCTATAATCTAATGTTGGTCATCATGGTGGTACTTAGAGAGATCAAGGTTTTCTCAGGTTTGAGAACCACTGTTAGAGCAATGATGTTAAACATCAACACAAATGTTAAAATTTGTTCAAATGTACATATGTGGCTTCTCTCACTTATTATTGACCACCATTATTGACCACAATATTGACCAGCTGTTGTTTTTGACAAATCAGTTTAAACTAAATGAAAATTTGTAGGACCCTTAAAGAAAGCAAAGTCTCTATGGTTTAGTCGGCTGTTAAGTAACAGTGTCAGCTGAAGGAACAAAGGCCTCCTGTGTGTCATGTCTATTTTCAACTTGCCTCAACAGCGTCCTTAAGGGACCCAGCGAGAAGGAAGAAGGCTGCAGAATGTTGGAATCGCCGTTTCCCCAACAACGAAAAGGCATTTTTTAATGCTGCTTTCCTCCATCTGTCCTCAGTGAAGTTGTTGTGAAAAAAGTCAGTCATTTTGGTGTTCTTCTGCGACCTGGAGATAAAAACACAACTGCTGTCAGAGACAAGACTTTGGTGATCTCGCAAATCCATGCTTTCTTTAGTGCAAAGGTGAGTTTTGTTCTAAGTTCTGTAAGTACATTTGTATTTCAGTGTCATATTTATGACAGTTCAGCATACCTGTATAATCCCCAAACCACTGCCTTCTTTTTCAGTGCGAGGTAAAAAATAGCTGCATCCAGAGGATCATTGCTTCTCTGAAATGAAGTCTTGGCAACCTGACAAAAGAGCAGGAGAAAGGATTTGCATTCAGCTCACATCTTTTCAGTTTTAGTCTTATACACAAAAAGAAAGAAAAAGAAAATCAGGTTTTATGGGTAAATTTTATGGAAAAACTGGAAATGGTGTTTTGTCATAATAGGTACTCATGTGGAAAAAGAAGGTGAGGAGTGAAAACTATTCCTTCATTGTTATGGATACATAATCACACTGTTCCTGTGTGTTGTAAATGATGTTCTCTCTGCCAATGCCCCAGTGGGAGAGAGAACAACTGTAATGAAAACAGGATTATTTCCATCATTGTAAACAAGGACGGTGCAATTTTCCTGCAGCTAATAACACTTAACATCTGTTTTATATTCATAACTATGACATTTAAAACACATTGTGGGATTTAGCAGCATCTAGTGGTTATTACGTTTCTTTGTAAAAAGATAATTCGGTTTAAGGGTCACTGCATCACTATTACCATGTATGCATATAGGAAAAAGATATTGTATTTAGGCATGTATTATTCTAGGCTTATGTAAATACAGTACTCTTAAAGAAAGCCAACTCGTTGTGTAAATAATAAAGGCTCATTCTGAAGTAATAAGATATTAATACCTTTAGATGAGGGAAGACACAGCATTAGATCAACCGTCATACATTTTATTTCTGTCATTCTGTATGTCTTCCACCTTTGAATTTTTCATTGCAAAACATTGGACAAAAATACTCGCCATCACCTAATAGGGTTTTGCTAACAACTTCACCACATGTTTTGGTGGAATCACATAATCTATACGGACTGAACCAGTTAGGCGTGACATTAGAGACCTCACCTTCTCAATACACCTGCGCAGCTTGTTGGTGCTGCGTAGCCACCAGCCAACACCCATGGAGCGCAGCTCAGGCCAGGTCGGATCGTTCTTCTGTAGAGAAGGTAGCATGTTCAACAGCTCTTCCTCAGATTCAGAGTGGAAGGCCCAGGCATAATGACAGGTTGACAGCCCTGTGAACCAACAAAAGATTGTTTTGAGTTTCAGAGAGTGCAGAGTTCTGATTAAGAAAAAACAATAAAAGAAATAAACCTGTAAATTCAGGTGGCCTTAGCTTAAAATGATCTTTTCTTTTTTTCATAGAAATGTTGAAATGGCCATGTGTTTGCATAATTTATTGTCAGCTACCATCTCCAGCCATCTACCTTGTCGTAGCAGCTGTGCTCGGTGTGCTGTAGGCAGAGAGGTGGAGAGGAAGGTATGCAGCCTGACAGCCAGCAGAAACTTCAGACCACACTCATCCAGTGTCTCTCCACCTGAAAAATAAATGACAGACAGCTTACTGAGAGGCTGCACCAATAAGCTGTGTAATTAATGAACAATTCTTTTCTGTGCAGTGAACGAGCTCTCAATTCACAGTTTCCTTTTCTCTACAGTACCTTTGCTTTTGTCCTGGCTGACCTTGAGGTCTGTGCTTGTGGTGGCGATGGTGTCGGCCAATGCCATAAGAGACATCTGCTCCAGACGAGTTAATCCAGGCAGGCTTGAGTGAAGGAGATGGCTGGACAGAACCTGTGCGTGTTCTGGACCAAAGTATGTGGGGCTGTACTGAGACAGGTCAATTACCTGCAGTCAAAAATAAAAGAGAAGCATTTTATACAGGATTTAATACATTAAATAAATAAATATCCTTAGTGTTGGAAACAAAACGAGAGCAGTGAAAATCCATCAGAGACTAACCTTATTACCAGCTTCCTCTTTATCATGGTTCAGTGGATCCACATCCATTATGCTGGGTGTGTGAAAGAGCTCATCATAAGCATCAGTATGAGTGGAACCGTGCCCACTGTCTCCACTCACACTGCTCACTTTATCTGCAAGGGAGTAAAAGGAAAATCTGAATTATACATGACAACAAAGAAATTAAGGTATTTCCCGCTGTTAGAACCAGAAATAAAATCAAAACCAAAGAGCATCTTTGTACATTTCTGTACATTTTAATCCCTAGAGGCAGGTGTAAACATAGGGATGTTATCTAATGTAATGTCTTATATTCAGCTGGAGACAAAATGGAGCTGTTGACAATGATAATGAAACATTATTCAATTAATGTCTACCCATTTAAAAGGACAAACATCATACATGTACAGAGTTAAGTTTTTCACCCTTCAATCTAGTTCTTTAGAAAATTACTCAATTCTTATTTTGTATTTTATGCACATATTCATCCTCAGTAAAAACTGGAGTATAAAAGCTCACAGCCTTAGAGACAGGGACAGAAATTCAGAAACATACCCTAAAAAACTGGGGCATGTCATTCAAATTCAACTAAACAATGCGACATAAGGTTTATTCAGACTTCTAGAAAAAAAGAAAAAAGAAATCACAGCCAAAGCAGCTATGACTCAATATAAAAAATGTATTGTTAACAAAACGTTCAATGTCTTTGCTATTTTATTCATTGGCCATTTAATCGGTGAATACTGTATCGCATTCTGTTTATATGCTTGTTAGATACTTTATGGGTCCTCAGTTCAATAACTTATTCTACAGTGCCCCCTTTTGTAGATAGCACATTTGAAGATATAGATGGCACAGTTAAAAAGAATATTGAAATTAAAACAATGAATGGCAATAGTTACAAAACCCTTTGGCAGAACTGCACCCTGCTTTGGGAACCACTGATATAGGTTATATATTTAAGTTATCAAGTTTTTGAGTATATTTACAAATTTATTTTTCAATTTTCTTTTAATAAGGAATCAATGTAAAGCTAAGTGCTCATTTACCCACCATGCTTTGCTGATGTATCATCGTCAGCTGCAAGGAGAGCATAAAGAGGAAGAGGTGGGATGGAGCTTATCTCTGTGTAACCCGGGGTGGAGCTCTCTGTTAGGTTAAACATCATTGGATCCCTGGCCGTGCTGCCTCCTGCACCAATGGTCCTGGAACGCACACGTTTCTCTGGATTGGTGTTATTGTCTTTAAGGGTCACCACTTCTCCAGCGATACATTTGACGAGATGAGAGAGTATGGCTTTGGCACGATGAACCTAGAAATAGACAGGTATTGATTACCGTTACTGACAACACTGACTGCTTATATGGACTTTAAAATGTTAATGTATAAGAAATGTTACACATTCAGTGTATATATGTATATGTGTATGTATATGTGTATATGTGTATATATATATATATATATATATATATATATATATATATATATATGCACACATATACACACATACAAATACATAGCTATAATTTACTTTGCCTAGATCCATGAGCTCCAGTAATTGTACAGGATGGTACTGAGGAAGAGTTGGGAAGAGTTGTTGTGCTGCTTCAAACAGTCCAAAGTCTTCCATCTCGATCGGCAGATCATACGCCGTTTTTTTACCACTTAGTTTTTGAGCCAAACTCATCATTGACCTTGTCATGCCTTTTTTGGGAGGTGCCAACAAAGGGCCAGTAGTTGGACCATCATCCTGGCTCTGTCTGACTGCAGAGGTGATGGAGGAGACACTGCTGCTGATGTCAGTGTCCTGGCCTAAGGCAGCACCGGGTCTCTGCGGCTTTGGAGGCTGCCACTGGGAGTAGACATGCATCTCGGAGTCCATTCCCACCACCAAGATGCCGTCTCGCACCCAGGACAGAGAAACAGGGATGGGTAATGAGCCTTCAACGGAAGAGACCAGATCCACTGAACGGAGCAAAACAAGGCGGGACAATCTCTGTTCTTTAGCGGCATCAGATGATAAACCCAGCTCTGGAGGCTTCCCTGTGAGGCGGCCATACATGTAAATCTTTGTCCCAATGCCCACAGTCAGAACATGGGAGCCATCCTCCTCAGACACCCAGTCCAAATGTACCAGGCTTCTACTGGTGGAGCCCAAACAATTTACCAAATTTGGTAAAGAAAGATCCCTGTTGTTCTGAACACTGGCACCCTGACCCATGCTGCTTTCACTGTCACTGTCATAGTGAGCTGTAGCATCTATGCTGTCCAGGACAATGGTTTGCTCTAAAACCCACTGTGACCCACCTGTGGATTCAGACTGGAAAATTGCAATGTAAACCTGGTCGGGGCATTGGCTAATATTGAGGCTGTTCTGCACAGTTCTTTTTTGGTTCACATTATAGGGGGATGATGCCTGCTTGGGTGAAATCATCGATCCTGGAAGATTCAGACGAGATATTGATGTTGGATTTGTAGGTGGTGTCTGTCTGTAGGCAACAGCAAAGCGTCCAGCATGGCAGCAGCTGACCTCTATGGGGCGTCCTGGTACATTCACAGCACTGCTGCTGGGGAGTCTCTCATCTACCAAAAATGGCCACTCTTCCCACTGGTACAGTAAACTGTCCATACTGAAAGGCTCCATTGCCACAACATTGCATCTCCAGAAGCGCACTATTCCATCAGAACAGGATGTAGCGATAAGATAAGGCACACAGCCGGCTGGCAGAGAACATGATGCACTCAGGTGACCTAGGTAAAGACATTTTTTTTTTTTTAAATCACAGATGAGTAAAATTTGCATATACAGCTAAACTTATAAAACCTAAAACTTTTATCACTGTATGATTGTGACTTTATGTTGTCACCGTCTTTCACCTGCTGAGGGTGTAACGTTGATGATTTCCACTCCCTCTGGCAGTAACATCTCTTGGCTGTATAGTAAGCGTGTTGAGAGGCTGAGTCGACAAGCACTCTGCAGATTGGAAGTGCAGGTTTTACTCGTCTGAGTAACTGGAGAAATGAATGTGAGCATGTCGAATGGAGAGCTGTTGAAAGGAGCCTCTGATTTGGTCTCTTCTGTAGAAACACAAATACAAAAAAAATGGAGATAGTGTGAATATTAAAAGAAAGATCTGGATACATTATCTTAGCTAATAAAAGCCATCAACAAGTGCCTCAATTTTATCTCTGTTTTTATTTTTAAAACTTTCATTTTTTTCCCCAAATTGTTGCTTGGGAACAGAAGCCATAACACTGGCCTTGAGGTTAATTTTATGTTGGAGATTTGCTTATGAGTCACTTTTCTATGCAATAAACAAGTTGTCTAATTAAAAAAATGACTTATCCTAGGGCAAAAGTATAAAAGAAAATGCTATTAAACGTGAAACCTATAGTACCCACCCATTGTAACAGGGCAAGCAGCAAGATGGAGATGCCACATGTGAAGAAGCGAGCGACCTTTGTGGGTTAACTCGACCACGACCAGGAAAAATCGTGCCGAGAAGGGCTGCTCACCTGAGGTTACAAAGTTACACAGAGATCAAGAACATTAAAAAAGATTTTCAAGGTGACGCAAAGCAACCTGATTAAAATCTACTGATACCAGTGTGAGGGGAGTCGGGTGGGTCCTGCGAGCTTTCAGCCCTTTGATTTCCAAGGATAAGATTCTCTTCAAAAACATGAAGAAGCTGGGTCTCCTTCCCCTGCTGTTGATGGAAGCAGAATCCACAATGAAAACCACACTTAGTCACCAGAAAGCAAATAAATGTACAGATACAACCGAGGCAAGGTGAAAAGTTAGCAATTGAATTTCAAGATTAGCTCTTAAATTTTACTTACAAAGTCTGTAATGGCATCCAGCTCTATAATACATCCTGGTTTTGCAGTGGATTGTTGACTGATTATATTGAACACTTCTCCAACATATTTCTATGCAGAAAATTAAAAACGTATTATACATAGTATATAGTGATTAATAAAAAAAAGTTTCATCTTTGACTGGTTGTAATTGAGCAAAAATCCATAAACATTTGATTTCAGTTTTGTGGCTGAGTGGGGGTCACTGCCATGACCCTTTTATTAATGTTACTATTAAGACATGTAACAATAAGATATCTAAAAAAAATGTTGAGGATAGAAATATGACTATAACATATCTAGGAACCCAGTGTTGGACTTACTGATATCTCAGGGTTGGAGAGTTCACTTAACAGTTTCTTGGCTTCAATAACAGCCTGATACAGCCTGAGTGAGTGGCCATCACTTGCCACAAAACAGGCACTCGGGGAGTTACAGTAGACACCTGAAGACAGGAAATTTTCAGTGAATAAAACAGTAACTTATAGCTAAAGAATATGATACATAACACCACAACTGAAGGTAGAGAATAAAAGAAACTGACAAATTTTATTTGTCATTATGCCATAAAATAACTTTAGGTCAACTGAAACTGAAATGTGAAAACATGGTGAAACCTCCAGATACGAGCATAATTAGCTTTTTTTCAGTTTGTATTCCTTCTTTAGTGGGAACCACATCTCATATTTATCAACAATTTCCTTCTTTATTTCCATTGTCATCAAGCATTTCTTCTTCTCACTACCATCCTTACCACTCACTCTCTTAGGACTCATCACTATTATTCAAACAGTTCAAACCATTACCATAAAAATGTATTTTTTCATTCAGACCATGTAAGTCATATGTGTCAAACTCAAGGTCGGGGGCCAAATGCGGCCCGCCAAGCCGTCTTGTGTGGCTTGCGGGAGCTTAAAAAATATTTAGTAAAGTCCATGCAGCAGAGTTTCTTAACCTAAGAAATTAAAAGTGTTTTTATTACACAGCGATTAACAATACTTTTAGCTTGAATAAATAATAATCAATTGCAGATTTTTATTATTATTAGTCTGTTCTGGAGTAATTACATCTATACTAGTGGTCCCCAAACTTTCCTGTTTCAAGTACTGGTCAGCCAGTACCACCTGTTACTACAGACCAGTACCAACTCTGTTCTGTTTGTATCAGAGTCTGAATGACCTATTATTTTAAAATATGTCCATATTATCTTTAAATAAAGAAAGTAAATGGATAAGACTGGATTTTCTTTGAATGAAGTAAATTAGTAAAAATTAAGTAAATTTTTTCACTGTGTCTCACTGCGGCCCGGTACCAAATAAGTTATGGACTGGTACAGGTCCACGGACCGGGGGTTGGGGATCCGATCTATACAGTCTTCTATTTACAACTGGCCCTTCAAGGGGAACTGCATTGCTGATGTGGCACCCGGTGAAAATGAGTTTGACACCCCTGATGTAAGTAATAGCATTATTTGTGTAAGAACAACACAGGGGTTAAATGGCACTTCTTACCTAAACAGCTGCTGGGAATGAGTGTTGGTAACCAGGCTACATTAGCAAACGCTGATGCATGAAGGGAGTTGATCCTTGCAAGCTCGGAGACTCCTCCTGACAAAGACAGCGGTCCAACAGGGTCCACTCTCCATAATATCAGCTCACTGTAGATTGCATTTGGATCCTGGGAAACCACCCCCAGAGACGCTCGACTGGCTCGTGAACCACGGGAAACAGAGAAACTGGAATAGTAGGCTTCTGGAGGGGCCAGGATGTCCGCATCTGGTGTCCTCAAAGCGTTGTGGTGTGATGTGGTGAGGAGAAGAGGAAGTAGCGAGTGACAGGCCAGATCATTGAGGTGGAATCGGTGGCCACAGTACCTCGACTTGTGAGAGACGCTCAGCACGGTTGAAAACGCAGAATCTTCTGCGAAACTGACGGCCCACTGGTTCAGGGAACCATCGGCGTGTTTGGAAATCATGAGCACATTTGGGGTGAAGATGCTCAAGCGAAGACTATTGCTAGGCATTACTTTCCCTTGGCCTCTGTAGCTTATCAAAGCAGATTTAGTTTGTGGCAGTGTGGTCCCAGGGGGGCGCTGTCTGCCATGTTGGATAGCCAGATCCACATTTTTGTTGCAGGCGTACATAACAACACTGTGGCTCAGGGAAATGGCATCTCCTGCAGGAAATGCCACAGGAATACGGGACACAAACGATACCTGAGGAGAGACATTGGAGAAGTCTTACAACAAAATTAAATAGATCAGCTTCTGAGAAACATTTAATTTTACTAAAAAGAGAATAAGTCAAGATAAAAAAAACATGTAATTTTGAGAATATTATTATAGTGAACTAGACATTTATCACTGTCTGATTGACTGAATGATAACTTATTCTTTTACAACAGATGTGCCCAATAGGTAGATGGGGATCTACCAGTAGATCTCAAAGGGAGTGTTGGTAGATCCTGAGCAATTACATTTAAAGAAACATTTTTTCTTTTTTAAGTGATAGTTTTAATTCTATTTTAAGATGCTAATCACTAGGGCTAAAGTAAGGACCATAGAAGTATTCTAGTAGTAGAGTCAGATGGTATTGTGCCATACAACTACAGCCATTTAATCAAACTAGTGTAAATATATATTTATAGTTTTAAATGTAACCTTCCAGTGGACTTATCACCCGCAGGAAGGTTTGGGGGGTTGGTAGAGTGCAGTGTGATTTGGGTGGTGACTGCTGCCCCCCGCGACCCGGTAATGGATAAGCGGATGAAAATGGATGGATGGATGGATAGTTTTAAATGTAGGTAGATCACTTTACCCCGGTCATTTGAAAAGTAGCTCCCAAACCAAAAAAAGTGTGGACACCCCTGGTCTACAGTAATTAACCAAGAGTGTGCTTCAACATGAAAACATATGTATACAGTAAGTATATCGTCATTGTCATCATTCACTTTTGTAACTAATCATGTCTACCTGAGCTTGTCTGAACATCCCTGGCTGGTATTCATCTAACCAATCCACATTCCACACTAGCAGAGAGCCATCCATGGGATGAATACTGAACAGCATGTCTGCCCCTTTATTCCACTCCTCTAACAACACGTCCACCTGGTGCTGCACTGCTGCCAGAGTCAGCTCCATCCTCTCAGGTCCCTGGTGGTCACATGGCCTGCTAGCAACATCTTCTTCAAAGCTGTCTTCATCTTCTGACTCTGCAGAGAAGAGAATTTATGAAGTGGGCAGATGTTAATTCTATGAATTAGTTTGGAAAACATTTGGAGTTGACAGAGTTTTTTCCCCTCACTTGATATAAGTTAAAAGGATAGATTAGGGACAGTCATGGTGTCATGCAATGTGGTGAGTATATAATGAGCATGAAAAATGAAACCAACCGTAGCCTGTTTCCCAATCTGTCCCTCTGCGCATGTGTGTGTGTGTGTGTCCTGGTAAATACATATCTGCTATTGACACATAAGACAGGTGCCAGAAATAGACAGGCAGGAATAGTGAAGGTGAGGGAACAGCAGGGGCAAAGGGGCTGCGATGACCTGCCACAGTTGCCCAAATATATATACATACCTATATACACAAACATGTATACATATATAAATATACATATATAAATATATATATATATACATATATAAATATATACAGTACATACACACATATATATACACACACATACATATACATACATATACACACATATATACATACACATATATATATACATATATATATACACATACACATATACATACATACATACATATATATACACATACATACATATACATATATATACATATATATATACACTCACCGGCCACTTTATTAGGTACAACTGCTCGTTAACAATTAATTTCTAATCAGCCAATCACATGGCGGCAACTCAGTGCATTTAGGCATGTAGACATGGTCAAGACAATCTCCTGCAGTTCAAACCGAGCATCAGTATGGGGAAGAAAGGTGATTTGAGTGACTTTGAACGTGGCATGGTTGTTGGTGCCAGAAGGGCTGGTCTGAGTATTTCAGAAACTGCTGATCTACTGGGATTTTCACGCACAACCATCTCTAGGGTTTACAGAGAATGGTCCGAAAAAGAAAAAATATCCAGTGAGCGGCAGTTCTGTGGGCGGAAATGCCTTGTTGATGCCAGAGGTCAGAGGAGAATGGCCAGACTGGTTCGAGCTGATAGAAAGGCAACAGTGACTCAAATAACCACCCGTTACAACCAAGGT